GAATGAGTAATTTGATAAATTCTTTAAATATTTGGGGTCTAATTATCAAAATTAGAATGTTTAGGGTCAATATGATAAAATTAGAAAATATTTTATATTTAATTTGAAGAGTAAATAAACTTTAGGGATGATAAAAGAATAAAGATTAAATATGGGACTAACTTAAATGATTGGTCAAACCTTAGGATTTAAAAAAATAAACTTTCAATATTTATAACCCAACCCCCCATTCCCAATCCCAAACTCACGCAGAAAGCTTCCCAGTTTCAAAATCTAATTGATTCCAAAATGGGTTTACGCATTTTGATGATTTTCATCCAAAATCGAGGACTGGGAAGGAAGTCCAAAGGCAAGAGCAAGATATGAAGAGCAAGAGGTTGAAGTTGCAGGTCGTTCGAAACTCTACTCACGGCTTTAAAATTTGAAATCTCGTTTTCTGCATTTTTTTTTTAATATATGTTGAGATGATACAGAGATTATAGAATCTCCAAAGCAAATTGAAAATAAATTCGGAATGGGTTACCTGCACAGATTCTTGCCGAGTGATTTACTAGTTCTAGATTACGACTTGAAATTTGAAGAATGAAGAACTGGGTAGTGAAAATGTGGATTAAACGATGATATGATGAAATCAATAAAAGAATAATTGTTCAAACATTGAGAGATTTACCTAGTTGAATTGCCAAGTTTTCTGTGAAGTTTCTTTTTTTTTATTGCAACCGTGAGAGAGTTTTTGGGAGATGGAAATGAGTGATAAAATCCAAACTATGATAACTCGGGATCAGACTTATGCTCAGATTTGGGACAATTGATTGGGCTGATAACGGACTTAAACTTGGGTCAAAGAAGAATATTGGACCAATAGTAATTTAAAATAGATATTGAGTGTAAAATTCGACCCAATAAGAAAAAAATGAATTTTTAAGTTTAAAATCGTTTTTTTTTAAATTCTCATATTAAATATTTTGCTAGAAAACTCGACGGATCGTAAAATAAATTCTAAATCTTGACGGGAATGTCGTAGCGATACAATTTAAGTAATAAAATTTGCATTTTAAAATTCGGATCGCTACAGATCTACTGTTAAAAAAAATTTATAATACAGTTAAAATTTAAATTAAACATATTTACTTTCGTAAATGTATCCAAGATGAGAAAAAGTGTTCCCTTGTTCATTGTCTCCCCTACATCCGTCCATGATGTTGTCTAGTTTAGTACTCAATTTTCATTTTTAAATTTGAATTTGTCATTAAATTTCGTAAAATATATAAATAACTTATCGGCCTTACGTCAATGCCCACCCATTCTAAACTCTTTTCAGGTGTACAATTCTCAATCTTGACCCGTGACTTTATGCTTAACCCAATATTAATTTAACTAATTAAAAGATCTTTTGGCAAAAAAATTTTGTTAAAATAAAATAATAAAGTCTCCCAAACGAAAAAAAAAAAAAATTTAAACTAAAATAATTTTTTGTATATTCATAAAGTAAACAGGTTAATTGTACAAAAAAATAATTGAATTTTAGGTTGCCTCACTAAACTTTATAAAATAGTTGAAACATCGTTGAAGTTTATCAAAATATTCTCTATACATCAGTTGGCAGAAGAATTGAACGACTATTTATGTTGCACGTGAATTCTGTTTGCCATGTAAGTAGTTCCATCTAATCCAACAAACAAACTCCACGACAAGGTCCAAAAGGAGTAAAGGACAGTATTTTTGAAACAATTAACTCTAGTAATTGTTTATAAAATAAGATATTGAATAAAAATTATATAAGAATAATTTTCACAAAACTATCAAATATATTTGGCAAATTAAATTCGAAGCATTGACATGAAACTCAAAAGCAGGTGCTAACTAGGAGTACGTAGATTTTTAAGAAAATATTTAGGTGAACAGTGATATTTTTGAAAAATGTATAATTGAAAATTGAGAAAAAGTCATGAATCCACGTGCAGAATTATTTTTATTGGGAGAATGTATTTGAAAAAAAAAAGTTTTAAAGAAACTATACCAACGAAAACTACATAAATTGGATTTCATCGAGATTGAAAATGTTATTGGTTCAACTTAATTCAACTTTTGATCTTCTAATGTCAAACAAATATTTAACAATATAATGAGTAATTAGGTAAATCTGACCAACTTAATTAACCGAGTAGAAAAAACAATCTTCGCTATGATTACATTTTTAAAAAATTGAAAATGTAAAACTTATTTAAAAATTTCAAATTAATCGATTGCCGAAAGGCAAACTGATTCAGGACGTGTTCGGTACAGATTAAAATTGAAAAATTAAACGTTATTGTTGATTTTTATTAGACGAGTGAGACCCAATAATGATTATATTTTCAATTTTAATTGGATTTTAAACTTGCCAAGACATGCTCTCATTTAGACAAAAGGAAAAAGAAGAAAACTTTTTTAAGACAATCTTGATCTCTAACCAAATTTGAGGGGTGAGTTTTGAAATGTAACCACTTGTTATGTTCAAATATGAAAATACTCTTTTTATAAAAAATAATGTTATTTAGCATCACGCTGTTAAAATATCAGTTTACGTGGCACCAATGTGACATTAAATTTGAGATACAATCAAATGACACACTTAATTGTACATTTCATTGAGTTCATCACATCACGCCACTTAAATTTGTATTGTAGCGGCACTAGTACCAGATGATATTATTTTATTTTTATTTTTTGTAAAAATGGCCAAACTCTTTATATGACTAGAATTATACAGTATAAATGGTTATCTCGGGACCAAACAAATGGTTTATAAAAGAAGCTTTGTAATTGATACGTCGTATTTGTAGCGCCCCGAGTTCCGTTAACCTGGATTGCCACGTCATCGTCT